GTCAGAGAAATGCAAAAGATCAAGTCTTTTTTATCAGTCTTGCTTTATAACTGCCTGCACAAATTTCTACATACGTTGACATGCAGATGGCAGTGCCTAAGAGTGCTATGGTGCTAATTTCCCTTGTGTGGCATTACCCAGAGACATCAAGCTGTCAGCATTCACATGACATAAGAAGTGAAGCACCAGAGATTTTGCCTGGCTTCTATTTGACCAGCTTTGTTCCCTGTTGTTTTTTTCCCCTCATTGCTGTCCAAAATGTGAGGCGTGCTTTCTAATGAGAAATCAATAGAGTGCAGACTCACTTTGTTAAGCTTGTGTCATGCATGCAAGATGACAAGAGACACTGCAGACAGCAAAGCAGCTAAAATGTCCCCCCTGGCTAATAGCTGCTTGGAAATGCTGATGCTTTTTCAAAGTATAGCATAGTTGATATTTCCTGATGAAAAAAGGGAATTTTGGGTGGTGCATCAACAGCTTGGAGTTAATTTACAGGAGATGTTCAAGGCAGGCAGCCTGCCTTTCTCTCTTGTCATTCTTGTATACTGCATAAATTGAAGAGCACATCTCCCAGTTCTGTGAATGCTATATCTATACAGGTTTGGAATAACCTGTTTTCTTTGTAGGCTTTTTATGGATATTTGGCTAGAGGCTAGATCCACTTTGTATACTAGAGCAAGAGAAAAACCTAATAATGCAGAAGAAATCCAGAAACACTGGCATAGAGAAGAATCCTTGCTTTAAGTATGAGATGATTGAGTATGTGTGCTGGAAGAGCTGAATATATTCATAGACTTGTAAATGCCTGTTGGAATAGGAAGAAGTGATCCATAGCTGCAGGAAAAGGCACAGATGGGTTCTCAGTTGTAGTCTTGGAACTAAGGATTCTCGTCTTCAGGTGTACACAGTTGGGGCTTTACCTCTCATGTCTGACAGAGCCAATGGTGCCCTTCCCTTCCCATCCCCTGGGTGCTTTGTTTACAGTGCAAGTTCTCAGAGTCTACAAGTCGCTATGCTCGTACCATTTCTTGCACAATAGGCACCCGTAGTTGTTACACTGTACTAGCCTGCAGACACTCCCTTAATCCAAATAATAGCACACAAAGGCTGTTTGCTTGGGATATGCGCTGTTCCTCGGGGTATGCTTTCAGGAACCACACAGACTGCATATGTAATAAAATATGTAACAATGACCTCTCACGACAAAGTAATTGGGTGATTTATAATAAATGACCATTTTACTTGGCTTTAAAAAGCATGCTAGCTCTTGCCTCCCAGAGAAGAGTAGAAAATAAAAGAAGGCTTAGTAATTTCTGTCTCTTATCATACGACTCTTCCTCAGATTCAAACCCTGTGACTCCAGGTTCTGTCCTAGGAGAGGTGACCCATCTGTCATCTGGCTCAAAGTGGATGAGCTGCATTCCAGCCTGTGTAAGAAGAGAGTCTTTCAAGTTGAACCTCCCTCAATAATCAGCGTATTGGTTTGTACTGATAGAGATCACATACTGAATTTCATTACAGAATGATGCTTACCATGGTCCTTGCGGCATGCTGTCTACTTGGCAGCTGCTTTGCATCCTGGAGTTGGCTGCAGCTCAATGGTAAAAGAATTGTCATTGTAAAGCAGTTTGGGATGAATGGTGTTACGTAAATGTGAGGCTATCATTAGGCATTAATCTGTACTGGAATAATGAAGAATATTTAAATGTGCTTTTCCTAGTAAGTCTTATTTGATATGAAGGGGAATCAATTTATCACTGTCTTGCTATGACTTTCTCCTACCCCTCCAGCTAGTATTGTGCATTGCAAATTATGCATTGCAGGAAAGAAAATGGTTGACCATCGATGGCAGCATGATTACACAGGTCCCTGTGATTTAAAAATCAAATCAAAGTTATTTATCCTCAGTGGCTTTTGGAATTCTACTTCCAAATGTTTTCATGCAAACAAGTCTGTGACCCTGAACCTACAAGTCTGCATTACACAATAACTTATAGCTGCAGAGCTATGGGCCTGGTACGTTGTGTGACCGATGAGTGCCCGTGGCAGATGCAATACCATGGGCGTTAAAGCTGGCTGCATTGATTTCAGCTGTGCTGCTAGTGCCAAGAGACACTGGAAGTCTTGCAGAAGCACTGATTTTGAGTCTAAAATTTAAGATCCTTTGCCTGGTGTTCAAGCCCTTCTGAATAAAACCAGATCTGATTGGAGGCACTAAAGTTCTTTAATTACTTGCCTTGTGTACCTTAATGGGCAGAGGAGAAAGGCCTTAGGACTTGGTTCTTGTTTTTCAGCTTTGTGCTCTGCTTTTGACCTCATTGGCTGCACAGCAACGATCACGTAAAATTTCACTGTAAAAATCCTTACCAAAGATGGCTACAGCTGCCCCGCTTTTTCTGTATCAGACCGACCACAGATCTGCTGGGAAGTTGAATCCTGCTGATCTATTAATTGTGGAAGCTATCTGTCGTAATGTTCAGCATTATTATACCAAATGCCTTGCAACCATCACCTTCCAAATGATTCACAACAGATTCCAGGGTTGAGCTACAACATACGTATCTTGTATGTCAAGGAGCACAGAGAAAACAAAAAACCCATAGCGACCCGAGTTGTTTTATTTCAAATGAAACTTTGGGTGGGGTGAAGTACTTGGGAGTGTTCCTAGAAATACTGATCTGATTTTGTGCCAGCTGTTTAGTGTTAGATATATCTATCAACCTGGAAAGTATTTC